TGGCTTCATCAGTGGTGACAAAACAACTTTACCGGAGATGTGTATAAGAGACAGCGTATTCCAAACCCAAAGGGTAGAGAGCTTTACAAATGCATTATAAAGAATAATTTAAAAACTCTGTCAAGCAGCTGTCTCTTATACACATCTAGATGTGTATAAGAGACAGGGTAATCCAACCCAAAGGGAATTTTCCATTTCCAATGCATTATAAAGAATAATTTAAAAACTCTGTCAAGCAGTGAGCCAACATACCGGCCGAGTGATCCTTTCAAAATTCCTGACCTTTTAGATTTTGCTGGATATAAGTTTACTCACACTCAGCTATTGTGTGCCGTTAGCTCTAAAGATCTAAGTTCTGAACACTTATAATTTATAATCAGCTATGAGTTCAGCAGTCTAGGAGCTTGCAGTGGACAGAACATGACGTTCTTATATGTATATGTATGTACGTAGATCGAATGAGTTGTCTGTTTTCCAAACATGCCGTTTTGATTGTTAATAGCCACAGATCGTGTGAAATGAGCTTCGTCATCAACAATTGAAACAAAATTATTAATGCAAAGCGTCCCGATTTAAGACATTATTTTTATGTGATCTAGTATTACTATATGATTATGAATCAATATTCAAATAGTGCTATAAAATTTGATGCAGCCTCTACACTTTGCGAAAGCAATTCCATTTTATTTTCATGCAAGTATATATAGAATATCAAATTATTTACTAGTTAYCATTCATCGTACTATTACAATTACTACTAAAATTAATAGTAGTACAACAACAAATGAGTGAGTTAACACATTATAATTTGACACCCTGAACGTGGCTTAAAGGAAAACCCCAAAAATATGGTGTCGTGCTTGCATTGACCAATTCAATTCTCAGAAATCACAGATACATTCAAGTATACCGCATGATATTTGGATTACACGGAGCATCATGATCGCTTTCATTCATTAACAGACGTCAACTCAATACGATGCATTAGTTGTGTTGTTGACCTGGTC